CCCTGGATCCCTGGAAGTGTCCAAGGCCAGGTTGGACGGGGCTTGGAGCACCCTGGGCTCAACAACCCCATGGCAGGGGGTGGCACTGGATGGGCTTTAAGGTCCCTCCCGAGTCAATCCATTGTGGGATTCTGTGATTCCATGAAACAAAGAAGGTGCAGAGAAACCAAACTGTGCAGGTTCCACCCCCAGCCCTGCCGTGGGCCCGGGACGAGGACGGTGCAACTCTCACCCCTTCCTTGGCCACCAGCAGCTGCTTCTCCGCGTTCTGCTTCTTGATGTTGTAGTACTGGACCTCCACCTCGTGGGTCAGCTGGAGCCACTTCTGCAGGGCCTCGGGGGCAGCCCAGCTGCAGTGGGACTCCAGCTCCTTCTCCGCGTTCTTCAGCGCCATGCGGACCTGCAGGGGAGCGCCGGGATGGACACGCTGCCCTCCCACAGCTCAGCCCACCCCTCCTGCCAACCCGCCCCTTCCAAGGCACCAGAGCAAGACAGAGGTGCCCACACAGCCCCATCCCTGGCAGGGCAGCAGCAGAGGTCCTCAGCAGAGGCCCTCGGGAGGAGCGGTGCCATCCTGGACCGCGGGCACGGGAGGGAGCACAGCCACCCACAGACCAGGCTGCTGCTCTGAGCACCAGAACCACCTACAGGCAATTCCTTTCATCCTACAGCTGAGCTCCTGCCTCAGAAATTCCCAGCCAGCACGACCCCTCCATGTCAGCTGCTCTGCCACCAACCCCAGGAAAACCCTGCAGAGCTGACAGACAGCACAGGGCACGAGGGAGTTAAAGGAGAACTGGGCTGGAGGGGAGGACGCTCAGGGTGTTTACTGCAGCCTCCAGACACCCCTGCAGAGCTCCCTGCCTGTGTGTAAATCCCACGGATCCTCCCCTGGAGGCAGCATCCCTGACAGGATCCCTGTCTCACCCAGCTCCCAGCCAAGCCCAGGGAGCTCGTCAGGAGACACTTCCAGGCTGGAGCAAGTGAAGCAATATTTAGACACAAAGCATGTGCTGCTGGTCAGGAAAGGAACAGCACGGCTGGAATCAGCCTTTCCTGGGGTCTCTCATTCCCCCCCAGCCCAGGCTCCCACACCCTGACTCATCCCAGAGAAGGGAGAGGGTACAAGATTAGAAGGAAGTGGGTGAGAAGCCAGTTGAGGACACCCAAACGTCACAGAAAAGCCTTTAGTGCTGGAGACCATCAAGGATTAACTCTTCCCTTCCCCTGCCCACCGTGTGGAGAGGCTTTGGCACACCTGGAGCCCGACACAAGCCCTGCAGGAAGTGAACACTGGAGGGATGCAAGGATGGGAATGTGATCCCGGGACAGCCCCATCCACGGCTGGGACTCCCCTGCCCCCAAGGCCCCCGAGGCTCGGGGGGTTGCCTGGTTTTACACTGTCCAACCTGGTTTTACACTGTGCAACCTGGTTTTACACTGTCCAACCTGGT